TATATATATACAACTTCGTAAAGATTTTTCAAAATACCGCAGTTTTCTTTCTTGGAGCAAAACTCACTTCCGACTTTTATCATTGATTTCTTACTGTCTTCCGCCATACTAGTGTGAGCATTTCTTCCATATAACTATACAACTGTCACAGTAAAAAATAGATCTATCAGTTCTAGAAGATGAAGATCCTTCCAGAAAACGCTCTTATCTAGCTAACATGCTGCATTAGGGTTAAAATCCGCAAATTGATCGCAAGGATGTGTGTTATGGATGTAGCACGCATGGACTATTCAATGCGAAATTATAAACCAATTATAGACCAGCCATCTTTCGAATAACGTGGACAACTTCGGCCCTTGGTACCCATTTCTTTTCCTCTCTTTCTAAGCTCCAGCGATGCATTGAAAGATTTCGCCGGCGTAGAGATGCCAAAGCGCATCAAACCCGTCTATCGAAGTCGCTTCTGTTGATTGCAACGACGGGTCTTCCAGAACTCTCAAGTACATTTCAAGTCGAAGGAGAACAATAACTACAGTAGCGGTTGTGGGGCCTGGTCGGAGGCTGATAACGTCAAAGTAAGATTAATATCAAGGTATCTGCGACAACAGCAGAGGCATTATACCGGTAGGTTAACTCGATTGACGTGACGTTGTACTATACAGTGTGAAACAAAAAAGACAGAGGAATCTTTGATTCGGCCGCTTCGAGAACTTAATCTTCCGTTGTGTAGTCTCGTAGCGTACAATGGCTAGTATTGCGCCATCGAGCCTACAGACCCGACGGTGAAACATTAGGTTTCCAGAAGTTATCTAAATAAACCTATAGTATTTTGATCGTCACGTGTCGTTCTGTGCGATTTACACAAATTAAGAGTCAGAATAACACTTTATGCTACGTGCGCGTGTGTGGACGGTTCCGTCCAAACTAACGCGAAATGCAGTCACCTAACAACGTTTGTCATCTACGGGACGTGCGTGTTTCTTACCAGATCTGCCTGGCTTTACGACGACGTCCATATTAGCCGCTATTGTAATGAGTGACTATTATCGATGGGTCTCTTTTTCTATACAGTGTCCTAAGCACTGATAAATTAAGATATGAGGGCGTGTTCAAATCGTTTCGCTTTCGAATCATTCTTTCTTTTTTTCAAGCTTTGAGGCTAAATCGAAGAAGAGAAAAAGTTCTGAAGAAGCCTGATCCTCCTGCGTAGCGACAAACATTATACATCCTTTTAGTGAAACATAACCTGTGCCCTACCTTATCGACGTCATAATGCAAACAGACAGATTCGTCTTGAAACGAGGCAAGAAATCGGGGTAGGGAGAAGCTGCCGACTACCCAAAACGTGGTTTAGGACGCACATAATATAGCCAGTCATTTTATACATATAATATACAAAAAGACTCGAAAGATATCAACTGACCGATCAGGAAGGGCTTAAGTTTGAAACACCTGAGCTAACAGAATAGACCGTTTACGGCTACGCTTTTTGCCTATGTTGCCAATGTTAACGAGACCTTATTTTTTTCGCTTATCTTTTTCTTGCGCGATCTATCGCGTAAGGCATCTAGATACGTGATCTCTTCAGTATCCACCTAAAAACTCTCAGTTTATTTGCATATTGAATGGTATATTTAGAAAGACCCTAAGGGTGTAAATTGTCATGATGATAGTTATGCTAATTAAGCTAATGATCGTTGCCAATGCCCTTCCTCTTGCACACCTAAGGGTGCCTCCTAGAAAGGAAAAAAGATAAACGATACTTTTATTTAACTTCCTTTATTTGGCCTGCCCAGCGAAATGGTTACAAATTTAATTAGATCAACGACATAGTTAAGTGAATCATTCGATGATAATGAAAAACGGCGACACAAAAAACGCAAGCGGACAAAAACGGTGGCTAGCATCCGATGTAGGCGGACAAAACAGACAAGGCCAAGATTAGGCATAAGTGTTCCTCGCTTCGATTCGATTCACTAGTCCCGTATAGCGTAAACATCTAGCTTCACAGGATACGTGCCCATAAGCAATGTTTTCAAATGTGTTTCAATAAATTATGAGCGAAATTCAATTTCTATAATAGTTTCGCGCCAGTAAACTGGATTGTACGGTCTACGATGGAAGCATCGACGGGCCTGCAAGCGCCAATAGATTCTCTGCCCAGCTGTAAGCTCACCTACGCAGGTAGAAGGTCCGCCATGCCATTCACGCTTAGCGTTGCAGCGAGCACTCGGTGGTCCTTTGATGGTGAAGCCGTGATGACATTCATAGGTGACCGTCGATCCATACGTTAACGAGGTAAATATGGCCCGACCGTTGTCTGGATTAGTCGGTTTCGGACATACGACCGCTGCAAGGAGACAAAAATCCAACAGTCCGACAGACAAACACGCACGTACGAACGGGTTATGATAACGCAGTAGCTTTCTTACTATGACGAACGTAGTGATCTTTAAGCAACTATGTTGATCGGTGACTAGACATACGCTCTCCTTAACAGAACTAGCCAAGGCAAAGTGATGTACTATCGGAAGTCCTCACGATACTTGTACACATTCACATCAGATACGAAACAATATAGGTCAGCTCATGTAATAAACGTCAGTATAGGCTACAATGGTTACTGCTATGATCGCAGCGTTAAATTGAAACTTGTAAATTTGTCGTTCTTTGACTTAAAATAGTACCACATCGTTGACGACAAGTGCCACCCGAGCCACGTATTGTTATTTTGTATGATTAGAGAAAGTTCTTTATTTTAATATTTACAAAGTCTAAACTATAGAAGGCGATGGCACACTAGCGTTAGTAGATACTTTCACGATGGGTTTATTGGTATTAGGTCGCTATGTTTTGTGTGTGTGTAAAAGAAGGCGGAATCCTTTACATTTCTAAGGTTCCATGAACTCTCTTCACTTCGACTTCATCGCTTCTAATTCAATAATATTTACTTTGCTATAAAAAAAAAATATCATGAGAAATTATATCAATGAACTCAAATAACTCTAGTGTATCGTGCAAAATAAATATAAACATAAACAACCAAATAAAGCTAATTAGTCAGTTAAACTGAGGTGCCTTTAAACACTTCTACTGGCCGTTGAATGGATGCTTATGGTATTCGTCCCGAAATCAGAATAGTGGGCCGTGTACTTTCAATCAGCTTCTTAGCATTAGGTTCCCGCTTGTGAAGCTGACCCTGATACGTGGACATTATATCACTAGGTATAAGATTGACCGTAATAATGCGAGGCTTCGTTTGCGTAAACGTATATTAGACATGTATTAGAGTGGCTATCGAGCGTCTATAAATGGCCATCTTTAGAGAACGAGAGCGTAATGGCGAATGTAACAATTAGAAGAAGAACGTACATACATGCGTTGAACGGGGTCACGCGAAGAAGCTTCATTCGAGCAGATGCTAAGCATGAACAACTGTATCTTAAAATATATTACCGAATCTCCAACTAAATGGAACAGTTATCCCATCGTCATACCTTGATGTCTACTTACTTATCGTATGTGTATATTAGAATACTTTTCAAAACTTTGCAACTCCGATCTACCGGGAGCACAAGTGTTTGAAACGCTTATTAATTTTTCAGGGAAATCAGACGAAGTTTCAAGCATTGGGTACGCGGGCATGGCGGGCTTATTAAGGATGTCAACCAGCCATGACGACCCCCCAACCAGCTTATCAGCACAATTCGCCGCAATCGTCCACCACCCATTCGTGGATGTAGAGAAATCTGTGAATACAGGTACCTTAGAAAAAAAACAATATAATCACGCTTGGTCTATCGAGCACGCATAAGCAGGACGCAATCCGCCCGAGCCTCCACGGCCAATTCGGCATACCCCACTGCACAAAAGGTGTAACCAGTGACCCGTTAGATATGTCAAACAAGAAAACCGGTAAAGCAGCTGATAGTATTTCGCACAAATCGTATACTTTACTTAAGACGAACTTGTATGAACGTTGCCGTTTCCAGCCATCTGTTTAAGCTAGTATAGTACGCGAGCTCTAGTGTTATTGGGGTTCGAGGAAGGGGTAAATGGTTCCATCGCTGAATACCATTCAACGATCCCGTGTGTGACAGAAGCATAGGGTTTCGACTAGTGCGGTCTGTATCGTAGTGAATGACTACGACGTAATGCAACAAATCACCAAAATGTGCCAATAACAGTCTTCGATACGAATGAACCTGCTGTAGCCAGCAAAGCGTAAATCAATACGAATACTAAAGGGAAATGTATTGACCGTCGCAATAGGAACAATGAAAGCATAATTGCACCGATTATATAGGCAGATGTAGATGTCACTGGCAGGATAGTTGGACGCAAACATAGTATGTAAGCCAGTTGCAAAAAAACTATACTGAGGGAACGAATGCTTTAGTTCTTCCGATACTCGAGCATGCCTTTGCTGGAATAGGTGATTTGCAAGCTAAGATGGCGAAACTCCCGATAAGTTTATCGAGACCTGCGTTACGATCGGGGGATTTTGTACAATTAAGCCCTATGTAGTAAACGAAAAAAATAGAGGCCGTATAGAATTTTCGTACAACAAAAAAAAAAAGCTTTACTGATTAGCGAATACAAGATATTTCCTGCTTTCTCGGCGACCAATTTCAAGGCTTTAAAAGCCCGCTTTATTCGCTTGAACTGGTTCCCCTATCGAATAAGTCTCATTCTTATAATTAATAGCTGGCTAGTTTTTTTTTCCTTATGTTCAACAAGCTTTCTTCTTTTTTTTACTTCTATTTCTTTAGTCCTAAATGAAAACGATCCAAGATTTCTCGTATCCATGTTAAATATTCATGTTACTTCGTAGAAACCCAGACGTGAGGCGATTCCCAAAATGAAGCCCGGACTACAATGTACCCTAAAGATGCGCTGGAAAGCATGAAATCAAATGAAATCAACTAGTTGAGCAGACTAGAATCTTCGACTTTATCTTCATGAAGAGAAACCTGCTTTCGTTCACGTTAACCAACTGATCTTCAAGGTTCTAGGCATTACAAGAAAACATTAGTCGGACTCGAGTGGTTTTCATTTAACAGATCCTTATCTGCTTGTCTACAAACATGGCGACCATAAGCACGTAGTCCAATGACGTTACTCTTAAGGCCTCCTTTCCCAAATAGACATCAATATCTCTACTGTGCAATCTATTGTCATCGGTGCGCAACGGAAGCTATATTGAATTAGACGGCCACAGACGACCAGCACATGCTTCAAGAATCACCGTTCTCTCACAATAGTATGTTTTCTAATGTGTATTAGAAGTTCTTAACTCTAATGAATATTATGTCTCATATACGAACAGAGCATTTTGTCATATTGAAACTAAGAGACCAAAAAAGTCAATTTCACTGAGATCACTTGTGGCTAATTTGAGAGAGCCCACTTGTTGGCAAGTAGCTTTATAAGATGTCGTCTGCGCAATTCCAAAATTTATCTATTCACGTCCATATTTGCCTACGTGTAATGCATCGCATCCAGCAGAAGAAAATTTCGACATCTTATTCGCTGATGTTTGTGGCAGTCTTGCTTGTAAACCTTCACATCATAGATAACTTACGTCGGCACTCCGGCGCTGTGCCACTCCAAGTGGCTCCTGAAGTACAATAGCGATGCGCGCGACCAATGAGTTCGTAGCCTTCGTGACACTCATATTTAATCGACGAAGTGAACTTAGTACTCGAGCCGACAATCTTGCCATTGTCGATTTTTTCTGGAGCTGCGCAGTTGATCGCTGAAATACGAAACAAGCGCAAGCATCAGAAGTACGAAGAGATCAGAGATAGTTTGCTTACCTTGAAGCTTCAACGGTAGATGACGCCCCGTCACTGAATCCTTTAGGATCTAGGTAAAATTCACTTCACCGTTATGCATAAAATCAGAAATAATCCACTTCAATGTACTTCGATAATGATTCACTACGTTTATGGATCCGGACTTGTTTTGCGTAAAACACAAGAACGATTTGTCTGTCGTTCAGCCGAACATTTAAACGCGTATCAGTTATTATATGACAGTTCCTTGTCTTTTTAAATTGTTTATCGTTCGTAAATCAGTTGTTTCCTCTTATTTATCATCGCTCAGTCTCACTACAATATAGCCCCTACCCCTTTGGTTGGAAATAATATTTTTCATTTCCATGGGTTCGAGTTTGCAAGAATCCCTCAGATCGACGAAGTGAAGATAAGATAGAGGCTAATAATTTACGCCTACACCTCTTGTGTCTGTTTAACGAACAATAAGATTAATTCACAGAGTAACTGATAAAACAATAATATGTATTATATATATTCAATAGAGGTAACCCATAATCGTCTTTAAATATCGCAGTTATTTTTTTAGGCGTCCTACACTATTCATCTGAGGCGTTCAAGCATCTGAAACACCAAAGACTACAGTTCCTATTAATTTGCTTCCTTTTTTAAGGCTTCCGTCGTCGCTTCACAAAAAGTTGCTCTTTCTGGTACCTTTCTAAGGCACGAGACATTTTAAGAGGAGTATTTACTTCATTGAGTAAAATGTTCGTCAAATATGGCCTCGTACATATGTAGGGCCAATTCTTACATGTACGGACAAGCTACCCTGGAATAACTCATGTATTCTGCTTTCCTATGTATAGTATAAGACTCAGACGTAATGTATTATATCAATGCAAGTATGGGAGAATAAAACTTTTCGCTCAAATGTTCAAATTCACATATACGTATTTAATTGATAAGGCAAACCTTATGGACACAATTTTATTATTGGCCTCTCCAAAGGTTTTCGCCTAGAACGCCCATAAATGCGATATGGGAGCGTCGTCACGAAACCCCTTAATATGCTGTCCGAATGTCTGTTTGTTGATTGCAATTCTTATGTGCGCAAGGAAAGATTTGCGCAAGCTGATAGTGCCTGCATCCAACGTTACCTCGGGGGGTAGCCGATTAGTTTACGCGCGAACGAGCTTACTAGAAGAAGTTCGATACCCCTAAGTCCGGGACACGCTTTTTACCCATTGTTTTTTATGTTAATATACACAGAAAAATTAGCTTTTCTTGAAAAGCATTGAAACCTGTCCGAATGCACTTAGGCGCGAAATAAGACGAAAATAGTACATTCACAATACGCTATTAACGCTTTACGGGTAGCCTTGAAGTATGACCTTCTTACCAGAGACTCGCTAAAATAGATTGAAAAAAAGCAAAAAGGAACGAAGGCTGAAAGCACTAAGGGGCTTTTCACGTCGCGCGAGGCGGGGTTATAATGACGAGAGTGCGGGTTTTTTTTTTTCAGTTAGTTGTTAATGCATATATTCAGAGACCTAGAGTATATATATTCTAGGTCTTCGAATGTACTTTCTACTATTTGAAGTTTGTCGGTATATTACGTTTAATATTCTTGGTTTTGTGTCACCTCGGAATCTGTTCTATTCCCTACAGTTATGGCAGGCTTATGTTGTTTGCTTATGACCTTAATTCCTACGAAGGTCGACAATATCAGACGAGCTATTATGAATTGGATTATAACCGTACACTCTATAATATAAGAGTTGGGAAACGTGCCGACACCAAGATAGATAAACTAGTAATCAACCTAAGAACAACTCGTGTCTAACAAACTGATGAGCTATGCTGCAATTACGAATTTATCATATACGTTTGTATATACGCGGCATGTTTATGTATGTGTATATGGGTTCGCGTGGTGATTCATTCATACGTGTTGAGCATCCGCTAATTCGCTTGGGATAGAGTTCTGTTCTTATGACTATTGGCCGTAATATGTTACAATGTCACAAGCATGTGTCTAAATCAACAACGATTCGGGATTCATTGGGTGTCTAGCCCTAGTAGTCGCTATGGCAGGGTAATCCCAAGAGCAGACAGTACATCGCTGTTTGATTAAATCGGTCCTGTAACAGGCCAGCCAGAGCCTTTCGTCGGGAAGCAAGTTTCGAGAGGCGGAAGAGACTCAAAGGACTAGCAATCAGAAAGTAACGGTTGTGGTGGACGAAACACACGAAGAGAAGTTAATGTCGTTACACTGAAAACAATGTTAAACGTCGCCCGCAAACAGCTGGCTGACAGGCGTTGGTTGGCGTTTAGCATTGTGGTCATGTCCGAAAGCGGGACAGGCCGGCCACATGACCTAAGACAGGAAAAAAATAGAGTTTGGATAGAGAAATCTCGTTTCCATTAGAATGACAGCACCAAACGCGAAACAGAAAATCGAAGCTGGAACACTGGAGGTAAGAAAATCGAGACAAGGGCATTTTCTATGTACGTTGACTAATATTGCCCTTTAGAAATTGCATTCTTTTTAGGTTAGGCGTGCTTGTACGAAATTGTTTTCTATAATGTATTACTTTTCGATATTATTGTTGAACTGTTGAAATTAAGTAGATTGTACCGCCGGTATAGCCAACAAGAATGTCGCATTGAAATTCAGCTTGCCTTTTTTCTGTTGCACGCTGAAAGCCTAAAAGGTGTAGGCCAATAGAGACAAGCGTAAGAAAAGAGCCTACAAGAAGGTGAACAAATTTATATAGGTCTATATTAATCGATCTTTTCTTTGCTGCTGTGTAACTATATACAAACGCATTAAAAGCTCCCGAACCGGATTCGCGTAACGGTATCAAGTTGATATATCGACCGTCCTCAAATAATGAAGCAATATGACGTCGTAGAGAAACTCTGCGGTGATTTTAAATAGGGAAAGCCTTTGAAGACTACCGCAGAAGACAAACACGGCACCAACGTAAGTAGATGGGTTTTTTTTTCGTGTAGCCTGTTGCGCATACGGAATAATTTTATTAAACACAGAGTATAACGAAATATCCCAAATGATATCCGTTTCTTCAGTTAAATTGTGCTTTAGTGTAAGCCAAATCGTTGTAAGCAAACTACCTAAAAGCACCAGCAAAAATTGTTAGAAATCCTGTTCGACATCTCCTGGAAACGTTCAGAGGGCAAGGCTTACGATGTCCGAATACTAGTCTTTAACCAAAACCCGCCCAGATCCGAACTCATCCCTTTGCCTCTTTCTGGCCGAGAATGATATCAAGAGATTCTTTCAAACTTCATTCTTCTGACTAAAAACTATCGTGCCTAAAGTTATTTGGTCGGCTGGCCTATAACTGAGAAGAACTTGCCGTTTAATTGAAACTGGATACTACAAGCACTGGAAGAAGCACCAGACTCCGTCTAGCGGACAAAAATACACTTACTAAAGACGTTCCATTCAATTTACATGGACAAGGAAATATTTTAAGAGTTTTGACGATATATGAACGATAATAAAAAGAAACAAATTGTTCATAATTGAAAATTTATAAAATTCAATTTATTAAACGGTCAGAGATAAGTCGAACGGCTACCCATCCTTCACCTCGAAGTGCCTATAGCTGTTGAATAATCGAAGATTAATAATAAGCTCAGATGTTTTTTTCAAAAAGGCATTTTTTTGCTATCTAAAAATCAGTATCACCAAACAATTGACCAATGGTGATTATAGACCGGCATGTGGTGACGGTTAGCTCGTAGTGCATGTTTTTTTTTTACCTAACGTTTAAAAAAGGCCAAATTATATAGTCTCTCTAATTGCTCTAAAAGCACTTACTTGGTGCCATACAGGGCCAATTAGTTAGAATGATTGTTACTGTATATTAATAACAAGCATTAATACTTACGTTCACATTTTAGGTCAGGTCCAAACCACTGGGCTGAATTATTGTAAAAGATGCATTTTGCTATATCAAACCCACGAGCTTCATATCCCGGAAAGCAAGAATAACGAATCGTTGAGTTGATGGGAAAATCATTGGCATCTTCGGATGTTGTGTTGATTCTCGAGTGGGGGACCCTCGGGGGTTCGCTGCATGCCGCTATAGAATTTCAATAGATACAATCAGATCCGAAACAGCATAAACATTGCGCAATTAGTTTTAGAAAACCGTGATAGTAATATGGTTCTATAAATAGTTTGACTAAATTGCAGTTATGTATGTGTATTAGTCCACTTTGACTGAGTAACTTGAATTGTTTTTGAATTTCCCCTATCGTCGAGCCTGTTGAGGGCAACGTCGCGTTGCTATTATTTACGGAAAATTATCTCATAACTTACATTACAATATAAGTGCGGAGATTAATATTTTACTCTGTTTCAGCTATATTAAGTATTTTGTCTTCATCATCAAACGCAGAGGTTATTCCGTTTCAAATACGAACATTTTATGCATACTCAATATACAGAGACACAAAAATGCAGTTCTAGAAAACCGTAAAAAGCGTTGCAGCGGACTGTATGTATTTAATATTTGATCTCAGCGACCATTACCATGTTACTTATAATGAAATTCCCACAATCAACAATAGCTATGACTCAAATAAAGGGTAGCCGCAACCGTCTCTGTCCACCTCGCGCAACGTTTTGCTCTCGTGTCGAATAGCATGATCGTCTACAGTTGAGAAACGGCCGACAAAGAATAAGACTCATTGTTTAATTTGTCTCTTAGTGAAAGATACCTTGAGGTTTGTACCCAATAGCGAACGTCCCTTTACTGCTCGACGTATGCCCCCCACCCTGTAGTAGACCTTTCTACGTATGCCAGTGCAGAGAGCTTGCTCGCACGTTGAAACCTTTCTGCGGCGCTATTCTCGTTTGAACCAAAAAGCAACTGCTTCGTAAGCCAACGAAAGCCAAATTTCCGTCCTTGATGCCCGTGATTCTAATTACCTAGATAATCACCCATTTCCAGGGACCTCTATTGCTTTGGAAGCGCAGACTATTTCGTTCTTTTTTTTCAGTCGCTTGCGTGCACTATTGCCCGGGTTGTGACCACCCCTATACACATCTATTTTCTAACTATGGCGTCCGTACCTACATAAACGATGGACCAATAGGCAGCAGCGAGGTCTGCTGCTGCATTCGTTCAGCGCACAACGCTAAACGGAACCGAACACATCCAATGAGCACGTGGGTGTGTCGAGCTCGCAGAGCTCACGTGGCAACGCGACCGGCCACGGTACCAGGCAAACGCCAAGCGAAAATGGCAGCTGCAGTTGCAGGATAACTACTTGCTGTAGCTTTTGCAGTCGCTTTAAACCGACATGAAGAGCGCATTTGTGCCTCTTCTGCTGAATAAATTTGCTCCAATCCGAAAGCGCAGCATGGGCAGGCGAAGTGAGGGAAAGCTGAAACGCGAGAGAGAGAAAGCAAGAGAAGATTCACCCAGAGCACATACATCCAGGCGGAGACACATAGGCGAAGAGCCACCGGTGTTCCTGAACTTCTAGTCGCAATACGGCTACCACTGCCAGTTGTTTGCTCGCAGAAGAAGGCACAAAAAAGGGATGGTCGAAGAAAAACAGAAAAACATGAAGGAGAGACAGAGGGCGGGGTTGCAAAGATTTCAGCAGACCCCCCCCCCCCCCCTAGAAAGCGCACGGACGGACGGGCACCTCCCAGAGACGAGTAATACGCGCTCTATTCTAAGATAGTTGGTAAATATATTTGCCTGTATCATCATGCTCCTGCAATCTTGGCTTATTCACCAAAATTGACCGACCGACTAAACGACCGACAGCGGAATACTTCGGTGCAAGTATTGCTGCTTCCTTCTCTCTTTTTTAGAACCCTGCGCTCACTCAAAGGCTAAGTCCTCGCTTTAGCTACCACTGTTATTACTCGCACGTCGTGAGAAAGTACTTTCTTCGTTCTTTGTTCCGATCGCAACGGCGGCGTACACGGGAGAAGAAAGGACGTACCGCAGTACTGCGTACAATTGCAATCTTCACCTGTATGCGAGAATACTCGTGAGCCGAGCCAGTATGTCGCTGGCGGCGATAGCACAGCCACAGGCAGACGGAAAGCGATAGTGGACAGGCGGGCGGGGCGAGAAGGACACGAATAAGATAAAGGGTGCTTGGGCCTTTGGTGTTATCTAGGCCTCTGCGGGGTCTAGCTCGTCGCAGCACACAAACGCTACTCAGCGGTGTCTCGAGTTTTACACGCATAAGAAACAACGCGAACTTGCGTCTGCATGTCTGGGATTCGCCGGACGGGGAATGAGGGATAGAGACCACTAGAGGTAACTGGGAGCGAATGAAAAACATCAAAAAAATCTCTCGCCTCTTCAGCGATAGTTTTCCTACTGGCCAGCAGCTATTTCTTTGCGCACCATTCCTAAGAAAGCTGCTTCTAAGACGTTCTTCTATCTCGGCCACGATAGCGGGTAGGGGATCCGCAAGTCTTTTCGAGTCTCGTAGACACATCATTACAATCACATTACTTGTAAGTATCTACCCGACCGCGATTTTTCTCCTCGTTTCCCTTTCGTATCGTGCAGTGGAATACCTCTTCAGCCACTAGTTTGTGAATGATGTCTTGAACAATATAGGCAAACATTGAAAGCCGAGCTATTCCTTTACACTTCATTACGAGGCCTCGACAAGCCATCGGCGCCATATGCACTCTTGTTCTGTAAATTTCGATTGTGGTCCCGCCGTTTATTTCAAGTGTGCGCTTTATTCTCTCTTCTTCCTAACTTCCCTTGATTCAAGCAGCGAGCTGGCATATTTGAGTCTGTCGACGCCACACTGAGCACCGTCGCATAAAGGCTGCAAGCGGAGTTCTACAAAAATGTCGCCTCACTCGCCGTTGCTTCGTACTATGGTGACTATGATTTATGTAGTAATTTTTAGTTGTCCCCAGTAGTCAACATCGGCAATATATCCTCCACGAACACACATAAGGAGTATGACAGAGAAGAACGTACCTATTTGCACTGGTCAGCGGTAACCCTAAGAGGTTGTTTGACAGTTTTTTAGGTTTTCGGCAATTCCAGTCGTTCGTATGCCCACTCTACCTGCCTCCCTACCCAATCCTTCGAAGTATTTCTTTGCGTCATTCGACATCGATGCCTCTGCGTGCTGCGGGGGCGATGAGTCATACTGCCGCGACAACCTTGTTTTTGCCTGCTTATCGCGTTAATACATTAGTAACTATTGTTTCCAGCAGACGGTGTCCTATCTAAAAAGGACCCCGAAGCAAGCAGCACTGTAATGTTTTATATGATACGGGAGAACTACAATATATCCTATAGCGGTTTTAGCAATAAAGGAATACTAGTGCTGATTTCAAGCGGCTAGTGTTGCAGTATATATATATATATTATCCGTGGCTTTAGGATTGTATGCATGGTATTGGGTCGGGGCGGTAGAGCAGGTTCAATAACGCATGGTATGCCAATCGTTAGTTCAATATCTGGATTTGTTTTGATGTGGTACGCGTTACTACAAATTATCGTGGAAAAATGCAATGAATCGTTCCATTAAGGCACAGAATTTTGTAAAAGTGACTGATTCAAGACTGTTAGCTATGCTACCGAAAAAAATGCCCAGGCTGATGAAAATCGCGAAAAATATAGAATTTTAACTCCTGCCTTGTTGCGATAGTTCAACATTGCTTGGTTCGTCTGACGGTTCCTCACGGTATGAAATTAACCGTTTGGTTACGTCCGAAATCGAATGTACACTACCGTAGAGTCCCTTATGTAAGTGGAGAAACACATTGCCACTGGACCATTATGAAGACTGCAAATATTCAGTCGTGATCTTTAGTCAGTACTATGCACCGACCTGTGTCCGTTTTCATTAACATGCAAGGCTCCCTATTGCCGCTGCTGTCCTCGTTGCGAGGGCAAATGTGTGGGTACGTTTAGGCCATAAACGTGGTCAAAAAGCTAACTGAAGGCGGTAGAGTCGCAGTTATCAGTTACGGTTTCTTTGTACAACTGGTTCGTTTGGACGGCTGGCAAATTTTCAGTGAATTGACTATACTAAAATAAAGATCTATATTGCGTAGCTACCTAGCAAACGTACAACCTGCCGTCGGCCTATGGCATTGATCAGCTACCCATGTCATCTGGTGCCATCAACTTAGCTACGGACATTTCTAAGGTTAACTGAAGAGACAATTTGGATTTCGAGCTGGTCGAAAAGCAGTACCAATTCAAACAAAAGAGGTAAAAATCACAGAGATAGGATATCCGCAAAGTTCAAAATATGTGTATTGTTAATGAATACACGCTTGCACGCTGTCGTAACTACTTATCTGTAGTGTTTTACATCCAGTCAACTTTTGAAATTTCTTTGTTATTTTTGCTTCTTGTTGTCTAAATTCAGACGCTGGCTATCTCTGTACACGATCTTTATGACTGTGTGAGAAGTCTATTTTTACCAATATCGTTTTCTTTATGGATAATAGATGAGCAGAAACAGCTTCGAGGGATTCGATTGAGTTACACAGGTCTGAATGCTTTATTCCGTCGTGCGCGACTGCCTAAAGATGTATAAATAGATACTACAGATAAATCGTGTTTGACTACTGAAACAAATGCTCCCGCTGGTACACGTTACGTACACTGTAATACTACCTTTGTGAGTAAATCGTGCGACGGTTACAACACGTCTTTTTTTCGGAAAGAACAGGTTTATCGAACTTGATTCGTGGACCATAGATCGTCCCAGTCTCCCTATGTAACCTTATCACACCTCTTCTATAATCATTCGTTAAAGAGTTGGATTAATACCAGTTTAGACCGTTCGTGTCGCCATGATCCTCCCATATTAAGTGCTCCTGAATAGGGGACATGCCCGACTTTCCTGTGCTGAGAGAGCACGCTATTCACTCAGATTAAGTTATTGTGGTCAACTTCTTTCGCTGCTTATATTTTCTTGTCCCGGACACAAGCAACGCTCTTGAACTACCTTGTTTCTTGTGCCTTGGGTGTCTTATGCGTGCTTTTCATGACGACAGCCACAAAGATCGGCGACATTAATAAACAGCTGTCACCTTTGTCTTCACCGGCAGTTATGCTTAAAT